CTTCAATTCTGGCTGCCACTGCGACAATGACTTTCAAATGTATCCCTGATTAGTTTCACACAATTTTGTACAATAAATGCCTAGATAAGATAGGGTGTAATCATCTACAAAAATTGCAAAATTCATAAAACAAATACTTAGTGGACATAAGGAATCTGAGAGAAGTATCTGGGGAACATTAATTTTGAAATAATTTGCCTAAGTACTTTTAAACATTACACTTGATCCCACAGTTAGTCTATGTGTAACTCCGTAAAAAATTGCCAACATGTGTTTAATTTTATTAATACTTTATTAATGTCATGCTTGTGAATGTATAAAGGACCAGAGAGTAGCTTTTCTTAGAAGTTTTGATAAAAAATCCAACTTTGCAAAATATTTAGAGAGATTTATTCTGAGCCAAATGTGAAGACCATGCCCTGTGACACAGTCCCAGAAGATCTTGAGTAGGTTATAGGAACCTATCCTAGTCAGGGGCATCGGAAATTATTTACTGAGGTAACCACATTGAAGTTGAGACTTGATAGATGACAGATTCCTCTCTGAAAACCTTTTCTCTTGACACTAAAAGTAAACTTACCAGAAACAAATGTTAGCATTTCTTCTATGTTCAAAATCGCCACCCATTGGGAAAATAATTAAACTTGGGAGACTTATCTTTACAAACCAATAGTCTAGTAGATTTCTAAAGTCCTTTACAAACCCAACGATTCTGATTAGTTTGCAGATTATGCAGAACATCCCACCTAATAGGAATCTGCAATTAGCTGGATTCTCCTGCATTGGAGTTTCATAATGTTTAATTTATATAGATACAGAATACTTCAAAATGTGTAAGGAGTATATGTGATATTTTGATAAAAGAATATTATGTGTAGTGATCAAATCTGGATAACTGGAATACCCTTCAGCTCAATAATAGATTATTTCTTTGTGTTAAGAACATTCTAAATCTTGTTTTCTACTTTTTCTGAAATATACACTAAAATATTAACTGTTGTTGTCTATGTGTCATTTCAGAATTTCCACCAGCAAGGAGTGAAAGTTCCTGTTTTTCTGCCTCCTCATTACCATTTGGTACTTTCTATATTGTGTGTTTTACACATTCTCATAGGCTAGTAGTATTTTTTTTTAATCTGTCTCGATTGGTAACATGGTTTTTGTATTTAGTTTTGCTTATATGATGAATAACATTTACTGATTTGCATATGTTGAACCAACCTTGCATCCCAGGAGTAAAGCCTACTTGATATGGTGGATTAGCTTTTAGATGTGCTGCTGTGTTCAGTTTGTCAGTATTCCATTGAGCAGTTTTGCATCCAGAATACTGGCCTAAAGTTATCTTTTCTTTTTTTTTAATTGAGTCTCTTTCAGGGTTTGTTATCAGAATACTGTTCCCATAGAATAATTCAGGGAGCAGTGCTTCCTCCTCATTTTTTGAGAATAGTTTCAGTAGGATTGATGCAACTCTTGTTTATAAATCTGAAAAAAAAATTGGCTGTGAATCTTTTTGGTCCATGGCCTTTTCTGTTGTTACCAGCTATCTATGTTGATGTCTGACCCCTACCTGAGCCAGTAATAATCACACTGAATTCAGACAAACCTGAATCCAATCCAATGTTTATCATAGTTCTTAACAACTTTATGGGCTCACTTAACTTCGTGAATATTTTATCACCAAAAACAGTTTCACTGCCAACAATATTTAAGAATTTCTCTTTGAAATTTTTTCATGTATTTTAATGACACAATTTATTTTACAACAACGTTGACTTGTCTACATGCATAATAATCATTCTTACTATTGCTGAATGGGCCAGCAACCATGTATTCCTGCTTTTTCCCTCTGCATACCTGAATGCCTGCAAGAGCTCCCTGGATCTCACTTCTCTACTGTAGAGGGAAGCTTTGAGAAATGTCAGATATACTCAGTCCTAAAAACAGAAAATGCTAATGGAAGCTCTTTTTCCCATTGACATGTTAGGCATGTATTCCAGAGGCTGCATTTATCCCCACACCTGTCCCAGAGCCTCCATTTATGTCACTTCCAATGAATTTTGTGTTATTTTAAACATAATTATAATAGACAAATAATAATTGTCAGTGTTCATGAGTTACACAGTGATGTTTTGATACATATAATGTATAGGGGCCAGATTAGGTTAATTAGCATATCCATCATCTCAATCCTTTTCTTTTTATTGAGAATATTAACATACTTCTTCTACTATTTGAAACTCCATATTATTGTTAACTATATTCATCCTACAGTGGTAAAGGACATTATAATCTATTCCTCCTTCCTAACTGAAATGTCGTATTCTATAATAAATCTCTGCCTATCTCCCCCTTTCCACTACCCTTCTCAGCCTATAGATTTCTCTGTTCTACTCTTTACTTCTAGGATACCTTTTTTATTCTTTCTTTATTTTTTAATTTTTTAATTTTTATTTTTTTGCTTCCATGTATGAGTGAAAAAACAAGGTCCATTACTTTCTGCTATGGGTGTACTTCATGTAACATAGTGTCTTCCATTTCCATCCTCGTTACCACAAATAACAGGATTTCATTTTTTATGGATGACTAGTATTCACCATGTATCTGCACCACATTATCTTGAACCATTCATCTCTTGTGCAGCACCAAGGTTGATTTCATATCTTGGCTGTTATGAAAGGTCCTGCCATATTCATTGGTGTGCCGAAATCTCTGACATACTGATAATGATTTTCATTTCTTTGTTTCAATTTGCACGACTGGAATTGGTGGATCATATGGTAGTTTCATTTGTGTTTTTTGAGATACCTCCACGCTGCTCTCCATAGTGACTGTACTAATTTACATTCTCCCGAACAACGCATAACAGTTTTCTTTTCTCTGAATCCTTATCAGCATTTGTTAGAGATGTTTTTTCTTTTCTGACAACAGCCATTTTAAGTGAGGTGAGATGATATCTTCTATCATTCTGCAGGTTTTTTACTCACCATGTTGATGATTTCTTTTTCTGTGCAGAAGCTTTTTAGTTCAAATAAATCCCATTTGTCTATTTTTGTTTTCATTGTATTTGCTTTTGAAGTCTTAGTCATATTTTATTTGCCTAGGCCAATGTCCTGAGAATTTTCTCCTACATTTTCTATGAGTACTTTTACAGTTTCTCTTTATAAATTTAAATATTGAATTCATATTCAATTAATTTTTGTCTATGCTGAGATAGAAGTCCGGTTTTATTCTTCTACATGTGGCTATCCAGTTTTCCCAGCACCAGTTATTGAGCAGAGGGTTGTTTCCCCAGTACCGTGCTGTCTTTCTGAGTATATCTGTGTAGTTTAATTTGAAGACAGGCAATGTGGTGCTTCCAGCTTTGTTCCTTTTTCTTAGCATTGCTTTGCTATTCAGACTCTTTTTTGATTCCATATATATTTTAGGATTTTTTTAAAAACAGGTAATCAATTATATCGGTTACTTGATTAAAATGCATTGCATATGCATATTGCTTTGGGCAGTGTATTTTGCATTGCTATAAATTGAAACCTGAGACCAAATTATTTACAAAAATAAGAGGCTTATTTGCTTACAGTTCTGCAGGCTGTATCAGAAGCATGGCCCTAGCATCATCTGCTCCTTGTGAGGGCCTCAGGAAGCTTACAATCATGGTGGATGGCAAAGGAGAAGCAGGGTGTGTCACATGGTGAAAGGGGGCACAGAAGAGTGGAGGGGGGTTGGCAGACTGTTGTGAACAAGCAGATATCACAGTAGCTAATACAGAAATAATTCACTAATTACCATGGGGTAGATACTAAGCCATTCTTGAAGGATCTCTTCCCATGATGCAAAAATTCCTAGTAGGCCCCACCTCAAATATTGAGGATTACATTTCACCATGAGATTTGGAGGGGACAATCATCCAAACTATATCATTATACTGTTATGCCCTATCATCTCAAGTCCTTCTTAGATTGCAAAAATATCTTTTTGAAGAAATAGTTCTCAAAACCTTAACTCGATCAACCACAATTCCAAAGTCTCCTCTGAGTCTTAAGGCAATTTTTGCCACCTGTGAGCTGGCAAAATGTTTTAGAGAGTTATTTACTTTCAAGGTGCAATATTACCACAGGAATTGGGTAAATATTGTCATTAAAAAAGGAATAAATTGGGCAAAGGCATGGTCAACATGCCCGTCACACACCTAAAGCCTAGCAAGATAGATATTAAATCTTAAAGCTACAAAATAATCTATCTTGACTTTATGTACTTCAAGCAGGGCACACCGGGAGATAAGGGGTCCTAAAAACCTCAGGCATCTCATCTCTACAGCTGGGCACAGCCCATGGTGCTACTTTCACAGGCCAGGATAAAGTGCCAGAAATTATTCCAGGCTAAGAGTGCAAGCTGCATTTGTCTCTACCATTCTGGGATCTTGAGGGTTGTGGCCACACTCCCACAGCTTTACTATGAAATGCCCTAGTGGAGACTCTGAATGGGGGCTCCAACCACATCCTTCCCCACATTTGGCACCGCCTTAGTAGAGGATGTTTGAGGTGGATCCACCCCTACAGCAGGCTTCTTCCTGGGCATACAGGATTCCCTACACATCTTCTAAAATCTAGACAGAAATTGCCCAGCCTCTTTTACTCCCGCATTCTGCATATTGGCTAGAATCCAGCAATCCCAACACCATTTACTGAATACCGGAGAACGTCCTAGTGCTGTCTGGTCTCGCACACACACGTGGGACTCACGGGTGAGCCCAGGTCTTGACAGCCCTGGCTCTTGGTGCCCAGCATGGGGAGGCCTGGGCGGAAGTCGGGTGGGTCACAGAACTTCCGGTCCAGCAGCTCCGGGAAGCTCTTCGCCTCCACCTCCAGGTGGCGCTGTGGGCGTTTGCTCGCCTCCGTGTCTGTATAGGGAGCGCCCTCTGACTTCCGGGTTCTCATTCTCTCTGGGCCGCCTGGAGCTTCTCAGAGACGAAGCCGCGCTCTGACAGGAGCTGAGGCGGGATTTCACTTCGTTTTAGGAGACCTTTCAGATCCTCTCCTGTTCTGGGAGCTCCGCCTCCAGCTCCTCCACCCTTCTCTTGAGTTGCTTGTTCTTCTCCTCTCTGTGGGTGTCCCGTCCGTGGTCCGCGGGGCGTTGGCTCTCCTCAAGGCTGCAGCTGCAGCTCCCGCTTCGGCTCGGTGGCCACGCGCTCTGCGTCCCGGCGGTCTCTGCGCACCCTTCTCAGACTTCCGGTGGGCCCTTCTCAGACTTCCGGTGCGTGTCGGCTGCGGCGGCTGAGAGGCCTTTTCATCACTGACCTTGACACTGGAGGCCGGAGCAGAAGATGGGGCTTCACGCCCAGAGCATTGCGAACCATGACTCCAGCTCTCGGTGTTCTCCCGGGCCTTGTCTTTGGGCATCTCCGCAGCTTCTTTCAGCTCCTGGAATTTCTCTGCAAACGTTGTCAGCTGCTGCTCAGAGGAAAACCCCAAAGCAAACACCATGTGGGCTCTGCTGTCGGCCCCCTGCCCAGACTTCGGCGTTTTGGCGAAGGTCGTATTTGGTGGGATTGTGCTGTTGATGGTCACCTTGGCTCCGTCCTTGCTGACGATCCGATAGCGGTTCCTTGTGACGTCATAGAAGTAGGAAACGGTGACCGCTGCTTTGCTCGCAGGATCCAGTTCTTCTCGATGTTGGGGTCATTCTGGAAGACACGGGCTCGGGTGAGGACGGGCTGTTCCATCTCTGGCACCGATCAGACAAGGCATCTCATGCTCACTCTCCTCCATGTCTACATCTGCTCCTGGGGTGGAGCATGTGGCGGCTCCTGTGCTGCTGGGTCAGCCTCAGCACTGCTCCATTCGATGGTGCCCCTTAGGTGGCCAGGGCCCTGGAAACAATAATTCTAAGAGATCAATTAAAAGAGTCATCTCTAATAAGAAGGTGTCAGCATTCCATCTCAGAAAACAATTGAAAATGTGTAATACATACGAAGTCCTCAGAAGAAACTTTGAAGCACAGGAAGGGTCTCATGTGTGTTGTTTTGAAAAATTGAAGCAAAACATAATGAAATTAAGTGTTTCTGTGCTTATATGGTACAACAGCATGTTGAGAAAACGGAAGAGTCTTGTAATCTTGAGGAGATGGCCTAATCCAAGGAGAGAGATGCTCCAGGTCCTGTTGACACACACAGTTTGCCTGCTTCTGCCCACCTAGGAGCTACTTGCTGAAGCCTTCAGGAGGCGGGAGGGTGAATGATTTTCTCAACACAATCTAATCACATCTGGACAGCGAGAAAAGAATTCATGACCCAGGATGGAGTTAAAAATATGTAATTAAAATTTCACTGAAAATTGAGAAATTTTCATTGTATATATTTATAGAATACAAAGCTGTATTATGATTTATGAATACAATATGGAATAATTGAATCGAGCTAATTGACATATATGTCAGCTCAAGTCCCCAGATCTTATTGTGTGTGTGTGTGTGACAAGGACGTTTAAAGTTTGTTCTTGGCTATTTTAAAATAATCAGTACACTATGTTTAAGCTTACAAATAGACATCAATTTATGTAAAATATAGAGAATGATTGAAATTAATTAGAGAATACTATAATTTATATGTAATTAATCAGTAAGTTTTTTCTTTAGGACACACTATAATTATTTTGTTTAAATATGAAGACTACAGATGTATGAATAAGTTTGTTTACACATAGTCTGTATTATTCTATATTTGTAAATTGATGTCCCTATAGCTATGTAGCTGGTGTTATCAACAGATGTTAATAAAATTCTAGAAGAATAAGTGAAAATTATTAGGAAAAAATATTTATTGAAGGTATGTATTAAAAAAAATACCCGTACATATAAATTTAAAGATTACTTTAAAAACACAAGTCCCAATAAAAAATCCTGGTAAGTAACCATAGTAAAATATCACAACCTCATAAAACTCCAGAGTCTTGCAAAAACATGCCTGCCTGGTGCCGGCAGCTGAGAAAGGGAACCTCCCTCTGCATCTGCTCCTGGGTCCTCAGTGTGTCCTGAGCGCCCCCTAGTGTACCCGCGCGCCCCTGCAGGGAGGTTTGTGTCTGGACTCACACTGACATCCTCTTGTTGTGTGTCTAGTACAGTAAAAGATGACCATGTCCTCAGTTTTCAGGCCATTTGCAGAAGGAGCTTGTTTTTGGCGTTGTCTGTGGACATGGTGAATCGGCCCTTCACGGAAGTCTGTATAGTATGTGCGACCTCCACCAGGATTGATTTGTCCAACCCACTCCATGCCCTTCCCTGTAACCTGGCAGATCCAGTTCATGTGGGAACTACTGAAGTTGAAGCCAGAGACTGCACAGGAGAGTCTCAGGTACTTCCCAGGCTTTGCCAAGCCTCCCCGAGTCTCCACCAGCTGCATCTCACACTGGACACCTGCAAACACAGAGACATCCTGATCGGAAACTGCCACACACATACGTCCACTGTTTCTCTCACTCATGTCCGCTCACACTCAACATCACTAGTTCTCCATAAATCGCCATTTATAATACCAAAAAGGAAAACCCAGCTCAGCCCAAACTCTGTGGTGAGTCTTTTGTGTTCAGTACTGATCACCAAGCAACTGAGTGTTCTGGGGCTCGGCTCTTCTCCCAGAGCTGCAGGGTCAGAGATAGGCTGATTTTTATGAGCAGAGGGAGAGCCCTATTTGCACGTCTTCTGCTATTTATGTTGTTACTCTGTTGACTACTAGTTGTGCTGTGCAGAAACATTTTATTTTAACAGGTTCCGTATGTTTATTTTTGTTTTTGTTGCATTTGCTTTTGGAGTCTTAGTTATAAATTATTTGCTTACCCTGATGTCTATAAGTGTTTTTTCCAATATTTTTTTCTAGAATTTTTAGAGTTTAATGTCTTACATTCAAGTATCTGATTGATTTTGAGTTGATCTTTTATATGCTGACAGATATTCAGTTATATTCTTTTATTTGTGGGTTAATAGTTTCCAAGTACCATTTATTAAATACAGTGTCTATTTTCCAATTTATATTTTTGTATGCTTTGCTAACCATCAGTTGGCTTTACATATTTGGCTTGTTTTCTGCATTTTCCATTCTGTCCCAGTGGTCTATGTGCCCACGTTTATTTCAGTATCATGTTTTGGTAAATGCAGCCTTGTGCTATGATTTAAACTTCATTCATGTGAAGGCTTCAATTTTTTTTTTCTTATTAGGGTTTATTTGGCTATTTGGGCTTTTTTGGTTTTATATAAATTTTAGCATTTTTGCTTTTTAATTATGTAAAAAATAATGTGGGTATTTTCATAAGAATTGCACTGTATTTGCAGAATGCTTTGCACAGTATGTTATTTTCACAATATTGATTCTTCCAATCCATGAGCATGGGATTCGTTTTCCATGTGTTCGTCTCATCTATGATATTTTCAGCAGTGTGCTTGTAGTTCTCCTTGTAGAAATCTTTTACCTTTTTATTTAATTATATTCCTAAAAGTTCTATCTTTTTCCAGCTTCTGTAAAAGGTATGGAATACTTGATTTGATTCTCAACTCTGTTGTTGTTGATATACCACAGTGCTACTAAGTTCTGTACATTTATTTTGTAGCCTGAGACTTAACTGAATATTTATTAAAACTAACAGTATTTTGGAGAGGTCTAGGATTTTCTAGGCATATAATCACTTCATCTGTCGACAGTGATAGTTTGACTTTCTCCTTTTCAATCTGGATGTCCTTTATTTTTTTCTCCTAATTGCTCTGGCTAGAACTTCTAGAACTATGTTGAATAGAATTGTTGAATATGGGCATTCATGGATTTTTTGTGTCCTCAGGGGGATGCTTTTAACATTTTCCCATTCAGCATGATGTTCACTGTGGGTTTTTCATAGTGTATCTTTTATTATTTTGAGGTAGGTTCCTTCTATGCCTAATTTATTTAGAGTTTTTATCATTAAAAACTGCTGTGTTTTGTTGACTGCTTTTACTGAATTTATTGAGATTATTAGTATGCTTTTTAATTCAATTTATGTTATGTATTACATTTATTGACTTGTGTATGTTTAAATAATCCCTGTATTTCTGAGATGAATCCCACTTGATCATGATGAATTATCTTTCTGATGTGCTGTTGGATTTGGTTAGCTATTTTTTTTTAGTACTTTTGCATCTATATTTATAAGGAAAATTCATCTGAAGTTTGTGTGTGTGTGTGTGTGTGTGTGTGTGTGCGTGTGTGTTTCTAGTTTTGGTATCTGGGTTATACTAGCTTCATAGAATAATTTAGGGTATTGGGGTGACCATCTGTGGGGGTCTATCCTGTAGAACCTGACTTAGCGATGGATGAATAAAGTATACTGACACACAGATATTATGCTTTGCCAGTTTGACTGAGTGTCTGGCCACTTACAGACTCTCTGGAGAGTGCTGTAAACAGTTGTGACCAGTGGCCTTGAGCAGCCAGTGAGAATTGTATTTATTTAGTAAAGTTTAATTGACAAAGGCTTGAGCCAACACCAGTAGAGAGAAGATTAAAACACAGGTTTCCAAGTCTCAGGCAAACACCATTAATGGGTAATATCCCTGGTTGACCTCCCCGAAGACAGCCATATGAAATGATCAAAGGTTAATTTTAGAACCACATGAGTAAACAAGCTAGCTAGGTAAAGTACTCACATTGGTTTGTATTTGCACCTCCAGCTCCTGCAAAGAGACCCCAGCTGCCTTCAGCCAAGAACTATAAAAAAAACTCTTAGGCCTTCCAAAGGGGCTTGAGACTATATTCTATAACTTTCTCTAATATTTCTCCCTTAATATTATTTCCACCACCCTAGTTGAACTGCCACATTAGGGAAGATTTTTTTATTTCTAAATTTAAAAATACAGTTACAGCAAAATTGTTGGTAATTCTTCTTTGAATTTTTTATAGAATTCGACTGTGAATTCACCTGGTCCTATATCCTTGTTGTTATTGTTGGAAACTCTTAAATTACTGATTCAATCTCACTTTTAAATTCATCTATTCAAAGTTATTGTTTCTTCTTGATTTAATCTAGGAGAGTTGTAGGTTTCTGGAAATTTGTCCACTTCCTCTAAGTCTTCTAGATTGTGCACATGAAGGTGTACATAGTGGTTTCACATTATTTTTTTATGTTAGTGGTGTAGACTGTAATGTCCTGTTTCATTTCTAATTGAGCTTATTTGGTTCTTTGTCTTCTTTGTTATTCTAGCAATGGTCTGTGAATTTTTTTGATTTTTCAAATGTCAAGCTTTTTGTTTCACTGATTTTTAAAATTTTTTTGTTTGAATTTAATTTAGTCTTCTCTGATCTTTGTTATTTATTTTATTCTTCTGGATCTAGGTTTAGTTTGTTTTTATTTCTCTAGTTTCTTGAGGTGTGACATTAGGTTGTCAGTTTGTGCTCTTTCTTACATTTTGAAGTAAGCAATTGGAGCTATAAACTTTTCTCATGCCACTGCTTTTGTTGCATTTTTGAGGTTTCAATAACTTGTCTCATTATTACCATTTAATTAAGATAATTTTTAAATGTTCATCTTGATGTCATTGTTAACCCAGATATTATTCAGCAGCTGATTTCTTTTTCCATGTATTCATTTAGTTTTGAGGGTTCCTTTGAGAGTTATTTTTAGTTTCATTTTGCTCTGGTCTGAGAAGTTACTTGATGTGATTTCATGGTTTTAAAAATGTATCGAGACTCGTTTTGTGGCTTATCTG